AATATTTTTTTCCGGAGATTAACATACTTTTCATCTTGTTCTAATTCTAAAAATTAGAAAAAGAGGAAGAGTAAGTTGGATTGCAGAGGATAAAATTAATCTAATCTTATAAAACGAGAATAAATTGCTAAATTAAAAATATCTTGCAGACCTTGCGTTCTTTCTTAACTGAATCGTAAATCATTTTCATAAAGCAAAATACAATGTCATCTGCGACACATATCGCATATGCAATGTTGTAACAATTTAACAGAGGGGAAGCATTACTTAATTTTTCCGTTTCTTTTCCATTATTTTTTATAATAAATAATTTGATAACGATGTTGCAATTTTTTATAAGTAAACGCTAAGGTTATGATTAAGTCGACTTTTCCAATTTTGACACAACCTTATTAGCATCTAGTTATAATAAATTGCAAAGTCGTTATCAAATTATTTATTATAAATAGTAATGGAAAAATAATGAAAAAATTAATAAATTAAAATTTATTATTTAAATAAATAATGAGAAAAATAACGCTTCCCAACTCTGCAATTTAACATACATAATTTTACATATATAATTTATACATAATTTTATGTGCATAATGTACTGAGAATGTTTTTTTTTTCTCAAAGCATATTATTAACATCGACAAGATAAAGATTACAAGCACATCCGTGTTTCGAAGACTTGTTAATAATAATTAGCCAATAACAAGTTTTTATCAATATAAGAATTGCAAAACAAGAATGAGAAGACGAAATAAAAATGAGATGAATGATTTGTTTCTTAAGCGAGATAAGATTTTATCGATTTTCAAGAAATTTTCTCAATTAGGGAAACATGTGAATTTAACTCGGTCTTTTTTCAAATAAATTTATTTAAAATATACATTTTAAATAAAAAAGAATTAAACAATTATTTATTACTTAAAATAATTTCTTTTGACCTATTTCTTATTTGAAATAATATTTTAAATAAGTTTTTGGAATTTATTTTATATTTTTTTATTTTAAATAAATTGCACCAGTTATGTTATCAATCCATCGTAAAAGTGACAGTGAATAATTAAATTGTAGTATATTTATAATGAAGTATTGTACATATGGAGTATGAGATATATCCACATATGATTCATGTTGATTTTCTGGTTCGCAAAGGATTAATACTATCAAGTAATATTAAATATCAATTATTGGCTATAGTTATAAAAAAAATTGAAATATTATATTTAGAAATGTATTCGCGCGCGTGCGTGTATATTCAAATAAACAAAATCATCAAAATATTTTTTATTTAAATACTATTTGAAATGTTTATTTAAAATATTTGTTATTTTATATTTTAAATAAGTTTCCGAAATATTTTATTTTTTATTTAAAATAAAAAATAACCTTCGAAAATTTATTTAAAATAAAAGACAAGTTATTTTTATATTTTAAATAACAGTTATTCTTCTATATTTTAAATAAATAAATAAATGTTTTGGGGCCCTCTTTTTTATATTTTATATTTTATATTTCTTTTAATCTTTTATATTTTAAATAATTTTTTGTAACCTATTTTTTATTTAATATTTTAAATAGGTTTTTGGAACCTATTTTATATTTTTTATTTCAAATAAATCGTATCAGTTATTTTATCGAGCCTTGGGATTTAGGATTTAAAATAATAAACGAGCGACTTTGTAGCACCACAATCGAAACGCTGTTCATATGCTATATTCATATAGTCACAGTGAGTGCAAAAAGTATTCGTACAGAGAAAATATTTTTTAAACTTTATTTTTAAAAAGTAAATATTATCCAGCGAGAAATGAATCATCGAATCAATATAAATACTATGATTTCAACATCTATTTGATGTCAATTCGACGTTTAATTGAAGATCATTTCTTGTTGGATTAATAATTTATTCATAAGAATTAAAGAATAGACTGTATATTTCTTAAAATTATATATATCAAAAAGATGTGTGTTAATTATTCAAAATATCATCTGAAAAATAAGCGAAAATTAAAAATTGTATTGTTTGAATCCTCAAAAAGTATTCGTATAGACGAGAAATTTAGCTTTTAAAATCAGGAATACATGTGAAGCTCGTTTGTTATGTTAGAACAGAATGTATTCATTGTATAAATTGCTAATTAATGTTTATTTTCTACAAATAAGACTTTTTTTTATAAATTTCTTTGTACGAATACTTTTTGCTCTCACTGTATATTCTGTAGCGCTACAGAAAGGTGAACATATTCGCTTTTTTTCATAGTGAACGGGAATCTTCTGTATGAACGGGTCGACGTTTTTGATTGTGACGCTACAAAGTTGCTCGTCTGTAGAAGCTCTTATATAATAAGTGATTAGAAAATACATGCTTGTTGTAAAGCTAGAACTAAAGTTCTACAATTGCATAAGCAATGTTGTAGTTGTAAGAATTAATCACAATCAAATATGAGGAAAAAATGAAGAAAATATCATTAATCAATTCTTACAACTACAACTACTTACAACTACGCTTACGTAATTATAGAATGGACTTATCATTTGCACATTCGAAATAAAGGCTGTAATTAGAATTGCATATACTTTATAAGCGAGTGTGTAAGTACATTATACTTTACGTATTTACTCAAGCGATCATATAATTAAAGAAGTTCATTATGAAATCATTGATTCTCATTTATTCAAAATCGTACGACCTCATTTTATTGCACAGTTTTTACAACACATTTTTATTTTATATATATA